CTTGAAGAACTCGAACAAGCAGCAGCCTATGTGGATGCGATATCCTATTTACACCCCCCACAGTCAGCCCCGCCATCCTCTCCTCCCATAACCAATTCACAACCACTATATGGTGGACCCTTACGAGGTTACAACAATGAAACCATTGTCTCGGTCATACCCCCTACTATTCCCGAGCATCGTCGACAACTCTATGAAGCCTTCGAGGAAGAGGAAGCTCCGATCGAACCAACAAGAGGATCTCTGATTGAGGATGAATGAGATGTTAGATCAACCACAGAAGAATTAACATCATCGTTTCGAAGCCAAATGATAGCAGGATATCGCCATGATCCGATCTACTTCAAAGCCATGGATAGCTCCAGGTATGGAGATCTTGCACCATCCAACATATCTAACGGAATAGTCTATACCAGCACCAGTTATGGTGAACATTGCCTATACATCCCAAAAGGCCATATATTCAATGGAATAACTATTAGAGAATATGTCATCTCTGAGATTCACAACAACGGACACCACAGTGCGGACCACAACCTTCAATATGCCTCAGAATATGTTTACTGGCCTGAGATGCGGAAGGATTTCTGCGATTTCGTCAAACAATGTGAACTCTGCCAGGCAAACAAGTAGCGAACACAACTACCTGAAGCAAAAGCACAGACCCTCCAACTACCATGTGAAATATTCGAATCATATGCCATCAATTTCGCAGGACTATTCAATAAATCTGCTGGATATGACACTATCTTGGTAGCTGTGGATCGATTCTCGGGATACACATGGCTCATACCAATGAAGATTATCGATTCCTCCAAAGACACCTGGAATAACCTCCAACGATACCTGTTTACCCCCCATGGGTACCCCTTATCTATTGTCAGTGATGCTGATCCCCGCTTTACCGCCAGATTCTGGAAGCAAACCTTGACCTCCCTCGGTATAAACCACATTATGGCTGCCCCTGGACACCATGAGACCAATGGCCAAGCAGAACGAAAGATCCGCGAGGTTAAGACCGGAATTAGGAACATGATCAATGAACGACAAATCAACTGGGAACCAGCCCTTGTTGAGCTAGCAGCATATATCAATGCCAGATTTTCAGACACCTTGGGAATGTCTCCATACAAGGCAATCTTCGGCCACCAATACCCCCTCCTACCTACAACACTATTTAAGAACTCCTCAGTCCTGGCCTCCGATGACCACCTGAACCGCTATCAAGCGATTCAGAATGATGCCTTCCAAGCTGTTAAAGCTGCCTGATTCCGAAGTACTACTACTGCTCAGAAGCAACGATGCAAACATGTCCCTATCCTACTAGGTAATATGCTCATGGTTCATGGAAACCTGTTCATAACCAATGTTGGACGCAGCAAAAAACTACAACCCCCATGGCGAGGACCCTTCAAAGTCATATCCTTTGACAAGCATACAGAGAACTACACTGTCCAGATGGATAGACGCATGTACCGTTGCAATACTGCAGTATTCCATGCCTCTGCTGTCAAACGATTCCACCCAAATGACGACTCCAAGTTCCCTGGAAGAACCCACTCTCGACCCACACCTATTATCATTGAAAGGAAGGCTGAATAGGAAGTTGAAGAAATCCGAGACCACCGCCTTGGGCATAGAAATGATCAGTTTTTAGTCAAATGGAAAGGATATCCAACGAGTAAAAACAGCTGGGAACCACTAGAGGGACTCGAGCACGCTATGGATATGTTGAACGAATGGTGGAAAGACAATATGCCAAACGAATCCCTTCCCCCAACGATCAACTACATCACCATGTGCTGGACACCGACGATGCCAGAAACTGAGCGATAGCATGCAGAACTCAAAGCTAGAGATGGATTTTGGGCGGCATACCTTGAATCAGAATTCGAAAGCAGCGATGAGGAAAATCCAGCTATGGAGCAGGCTCTCGACAATCTTATATAGTCACCAATCACCATCCGAATACCATAACGATGTCAAACTATGTGGAACTCAATGTGAGGCTGCGACAACAGATTGTTGGACTGTTGTTGAACCGCGATGTTATCCAACTTGAAGACTATTTCGAAATCCTCTGGATAGACTACTGTCCTGATTGTGACCATGCTTGGGTTGACGTACAACGCGAATCTGGTATTCGTGACTATTGTGATTTACATTTCTTTGAGTCTGAGTGTTTCCTTAAAGTTTCTTCCTGCCCCTGGTGTGATACTTATGATGAAGAATTTCTTGCGGAAACCGAAGCCATGAGTTTGTCGGAATCCACTTTTGATGATTATTAGGTTTTGTTTATTTAAACAGTTGTTTTGTTTTGGGGAATGTAACCGGTATGGGTACTTGGTTATTGGTTTTGTTTTAAGTATTGTTTGATACTTGGTTTTGTTTTAAGTATCGTTTGATACTTGGTTTTGTTTTATGTTTTGTTTTAAGTATCACCTTGATACTTAAGGAGTTTTACCAAAGTGTATCGATTGATACCTTTGATTAGTTTCGTTCATGCTAGACATGAACAAGATTTGTGTATTTAAAGACCGCCTGTTTCTACGATAGAAAAGGCAGACTTCGACAGACAGTCTTCCAATATACTTGGTTAAACAGTTACTTCTTTGTTTCCAAGTACATCCTCGAAGCCTCCTTTAGTTCTCAGCTCTCACCTCCTCTCCGGAAGAGCAGGCCACCTGCAAACTATCGTATCCTTTACCGATAACGTGATTAGCACCTTGCGAACACGTTACATCCCCCCTCTTCCTCACAAGAACTAACTCAGTCCTGCCACCCTTCATGATTGCAGTGTAGACCCCAATACTAGTCCTCCTAGACTTAAAGCTAGGCTTCAAGTTTTTTTCATCCAGCTCTTCACCAGGTCTAACTCTGACCTTCCTGTCAGTAGGATTTGGATCATAGATAATGGTGGCTTCATCCACAAAAACAACCCAATTCCAGGTACCCCTCCAATTCCTCCTTCTTCTAGCAAACTCCTTTCTCTTCTCCTTCTGTACTTTCCTCCAAAAAGGTTTTTTTCTAGGTATGAGAAGCTTAAAACCAGCTTCTGATATGATCTTATCCACAGATGTCTTTCCCAGACCAATATTCGGTTTTTTGTTAATGTCTCATAACGCTAAATGAGGCTCGGTATCGATAGTGGACTCCACTATCTTTCTTTTTTGAGGGGTAATTGTTGTTGGTCTTCCAGATCTGGTGGCATCATAGGTATTTCCATCTCTTGATTCAGCTCTTTTAACTACTGATTGAACAGTTGCCTTAGAGATACCCATAACCTTAGAACTTTTATTATACCCCATATCAGTATGTTTATATACGGCATAAATATCCTTATTTTGGTCTTCTCTAGCTCTTCGGGTATGTGGGGGGGTCATGGTAGAGGCGGTTGTTATGGGGATAGAGGACAATACCATTGCCGCACCGGGGTATGAAGACTTTACAGACACGACTGTATTAGTACTCGAGCACCTACACAATTCCGTCTCTATGGGACCCTGTAACCCTCCAAACAAAAGAGAGAAAGAAAAAAAGAAAAGACAACCATTTTGCTAATACCATCAGAGACAGTTTGGCGGTCAGATTCTAATACAAGTACACTGCTGGTAGTACTTCATGATAGATGGGATTGGCAAGGAGAGCTGGTTGGCTAGTTTTAACGTCTGCGAGTATTGTTACAATTCCATCCGGCCCACCCCGCACCCAAAGTATTATCGCTCATGGTAGGGGTACACAAAACCTGTCACATGCAATAGCCGCATGTAGTCCTGATTAGAAAGCCAATAGGATAGTATGGTCCACCAGGTCAATCAAATCTGTGCCTGTATCGTGGTACTATACCATGTATTATTCAGTCAGCCCTGTTGTGGAAGCTGGTACTTGGGTGAGGGGGAAACCAATGCTAGGCGAATCTAAAGCCTTTAGAGGGATAGCAGATACCTTCCTTGGAGGTGTCAGTCATCATAGTTGTATAAAATGTGTAGGTGAGAATGGGGAGGGGCGGGTGGGCTGTGGGCGAGAAGGGGAGATGGGGAAGATGGAGAGGGCAGCAACATAGATGGTTGAAAACTATTGCCAAAGTGTGGGCAGTTGTCTAGGCATTTGTCGGGTGAGAATAGTATACTCACCCGACAAATGCCAAGACCCCTACACTATGCGGAAGGGTTTCAGGTTTAGACTATCCATCCATCCTCCCTTCCTCTCACCTTATCACACACCCGCTCATCCCATTGTCACTCCTCTAAATACGATAAACACACTCTTCATATTAGATCCTACCAGGTTAAATATGAGTACATACAACTACCACAACCGACATTGCAAATCCACCCATCCCCATTTCTCATGGCTGCGAATACCATAAATGTACCCCCCACATTAGATCTTATCATATTAAGTACAACTACTATCACTTACCCCCCAGCATTTGCTATCCCTAGTAAGGTGTCAGATTTGACCAGCATTAATGGCCTACACGTCCGCCTCTGCCTCAGCCAACGTGGCCGGCACAATCCACTCCTATTGAAAAACAGGATGGTTATAGTAACAGGATAAGGCAAAGACTTGCAGAGTAATATACCATCGCACAATAGGACTTCTTGGTGAGGATGAAAGATCTCCGTCCCGCACCTTCTTTAAAACTAAACTAACCGAAAGGACAGAAGGTATACATAACTAAAAAAAGAAAATGAACACATCCTGCAGTCCTTCCATCCTTCCACCAATCACCACACTTTCCACGCAAGTCTTCCGCTCTCTCATTTCCTCTCCCTCGCTAATATAAGAAAGACATGTTTCAGAATGAACTCCTCCGCCTTCTTAGCCCCCATGCGTCCTGCTCTCCTACAAACAACACTCCCACTACTTCCCAGCCTCCGGCTTCCTTCTAGCCCCGACCACGCCAATTACCTTCCCTACTACCACAAACAAATGGTGACTTTTGGAGAGAATTCTTCCGCTTGTCACTGACCAGAAGGATCAGCTTCTTTCCCGTAATGTTGATCGTATCACTTTCATTGGTGGCCACAGGTGTTGGAGATTCGTTATTCTCAGCTGCTCACCACATACATATCTTCTCACCTGCGGAGTCATACGAAATGGAACCACTAAGATCCACAACACGTCCTTCCTCACCAGCGGTTTCACTATAGTTAGCTTTATACATGGCCAAACATCCACCCTGCATACATAGCGCGACAACCCCAAACACAAGATCACCTACCATGAAACACGAGCTGTTCTGATGCCGAACAACAACTATATCCTCAGTCACCTCAGATAGAATTCAGCACTGCAGGATGAAAGGGAGTAGAGTGGAACAATCTCATGTGAGATTAGGCATGCGCAGGCAGCATGCAAAGACAGGAGGTTTTCTCTGGAGGAGGATATAAGGCTGTCTTGTTTTCCACTTGTTCACTTGTTTTCTGATATAAGTTCATCATCACATTCATTCATTATCTGGTCTGATGATTTCCTATTACTTTGTTACACCTTTGTTCCTTGCTTCTCTATTTCTCTTATTACACAATCTCTACTCATACCAATAAAAGTTTCGTGTCCTTCGGTCCACAAGGGTTAGATCCGCTGTGCCCTACCATCCGTCAATTGTTTAAAAACAGGAACGGATCTTATCCTCGGCACTTCACCATCCACTACCCTGAATACTGCCAGCAGCAGAACATTCTTCATATCAAACCTCCATTGGCTTTCCAGCTTGAACTGGGTAGATTTTCACATTTCACCATCATGCCAGTTTTCACCAGGAACGGTAATGTCCATATCTACGAGGTATACGGTAAGGAGGTTCAGAGAGATAAGAGGTACTTTACTCATGCCATCATTTGTCAGGACCGCCTGTAAGATGAGATTCCTACTGCTGATTACTTGCTTTCCGAGACCGATCACCTGGTTAATGATATCCTTGATCCTTTGGAGTTATTGGAAATAATAGTTCTGATCTTAACCACATTTTCATCAATTTCACTCCCATTTTCCCACTCAGCGCAGAGGAGTTTAAGTCTGCTCTTTGTAGCTCAGCCGAACATTTCGGAAGACGGCTTGGGAGACTCCGTGTTACTAGTACTGAGATACGTATCATCTATACTGACCCTCAGAGCGGCCTCGTATACTCCCTTTGTGTCATAATCCAGAATGTGTCCATATATAGCATTCCAGTTGAGATGTACACAGAGAGCATGATGAACAAGGGGCAATGGATATTCTACAGTATTGGTACCAAGTCTGTATCCACATCTCCTTATCGTCAACACCCCGTAAGCTGTCAAGGGATGTTTGCAGCCGTAGAAGCACAAGGAGCATCTTATAGGAAAGCAATACGTGTATTATCTCCCCAAGTTATTCCGACAGGCTTTCTATCAGGGCTGACTGCAGTCTGCCAAGCAGGTCTCCTCCTTCAAGGAGAGGACCCCACCTCTTACTGAGTGCTTAGAGTATAGCGAGTTGGTTTTGGATGATAATGGTAGTCTCACCGAGGTTCAATGGGAGCTGGCAACTAATGCTGATGGCATGGTTGGTAGGGTATTAACTGGGAGGAGCCCCGAGTACCTTTGTGGACCTAACTTCATTATTATTGCCAATGACATCACCTTCAGAATTGTATCTTTCAGTCCTTCCAAAGATAAATTTTTCTCCAAGTGGTAAGAATTTGCGTGCAAATAGGGCTTCCTGAGAATTTACTTGTCATCCAATTCAGTTGCTAGAATTGGTATAGCACTTATGTTATTCAATACTAGCAACTTTGAAACTTTAGAAAGTTATGAAGTGATAAATAAAGAGCCTCACTTGGTAGATGCCGAGTGGAGATCCATAATACAAGGATTTATCCCTTCACTTAAAGGACGATATCCTGTACAACTATAGTGTAAGAGTGCACGCAAATCTATCGGAAGCAGAAAAACTCACTCGATTTGTGGATGGCAAATGACATTGTACATGAACGAATCAGATTCATTAGGGCATGTACACACTCTGTCATTTCTAGATCCTTCTTTCCTCATCCCCTTTTCTTTTTTTCCCTTAACCTTCTCTCAATCCGCATTCCACTATCATCCTCTTACTTTTTTCTCAATTAATTCCAATTAATTCATCCCGTGTTCTAATAAATGCTCAGGTTGCGATGACCAAGAGCCAATTCGTGCCGGAGATGGTGGTGTTTTGCCCGGAATTTCATCCTTAGGCGATCCAGGTTATACTGCCTACAGTATCTACTCAATAAAGATAGCACCTCCCACCCCTCTCAAAAACAGAAAGTGGAGTTCACCACTCCCAATGCACAATGCCGATCTTATACCCTCCCGTACAAACCAATGACTACCCGCCCCACTGCTAGCATTTACACTCCCAGCACCGTCGGTCAACTCCTAATCCTTCTGAAGAGCGGCAGCTTGGCGGACATTCTGGGGGTTTCTAACTTTGAGGTCACTGACTTCTCCCAGAAACCTGCCATAACTTTACAAGAACTGAGGCAGTCCAGGATCTTGGAACTCCTTGAAACAGCAGATAAAGACCTACTGCTGTTGTGAAAACCTTTCAATTAATGACTTTGATAGAGGGACCATCGGAAACTCAGAACTCGAAGTGAACAACTGTATTTGTTATGAATACAGGTCCTTTACTGATCGGCTTGTCATAACGTATTTGGCAACACCAACTCATCACTCGCTATATTATTCTTCCAACCAAACATTCTACTGCTTTCTGAAAGGATCAGATCTTTCAAAACAAGTAAGTTATTTTCCCTTGGTTCAGGTACTAGTATGTATTAAAACAACTCGCCTTCAGAATAATCTGGCTAACTCCATTCAGCGCTTGAAGGTTTCGGGGGCAAGTGGAGCGGCAGATCTTCGAAATTTCGAGCTGCCTTTGCAAAACTGAATACCATCTGATTTCCTGCAATCTTTTGTCAGTAAGGATTTTCTGATAGCTCAGATAATTTGATGGATGATGCACGTCTTTGGCGGCTTAGTGCGGAAGGACAGAAGAATATACTTCTTGTTTTGTCTTTCAAGGAGAGTCAGTTGAGAGGGAACCTGGTCGAAGACACTAGCGATGCAAAAATGAACAGCGAAAAATAGACTGTCATTGACCATATCAACCAATCAACCACCCAAACTAATTTGGCAAAAATGTTGGAACAACTGAATCGAAGTGCTAAGTTGAAATAACCAATGATAGGAGACCTTTCACCCACTTTGCACTTATTCTGTGCCACGAAGGATTATACAGATATTGAGGAATTTTTTAATTCAATAGTTCCGCCACTACCTATCAGGGATTTTACTGTATACTCACGGACCGTACACCCCACTGATCCTTCCATTGTCTTGGTCCTCGCTAGAAATTTTACCGTTCTGCCAGAACCTGCTGGCCACTCTAACACTCATGCAGCACCTGCTAGCCCTTCGACTATGCTCCCAGTACTGCCCACTACTCCTACCATTCTCCCGGTCCTCTCTAGTGATTCTACCATTCTCTCGAAATATTCCCGAAATTCTACCGCTCTCCCAATACCTGCCAGCACTTCTACTGTTTCACACAGAACCCGCCACCCAATCTACAGTTATTTCAGTACCTCCCCATGGTCCTACCATTATGTCTGTCCTTGCTCGCAATTCTACTGTTCTCTCTTCTCGCTCCAGCGATTTCACCATTCTCCCAGCCCTCCCTAGTGTTGCTACCAGAATCCGAGAATTTCAGATCGCCTTAGAGGATATCTTCAGCAATGATCTGCCCACAGTGCTCGAACCTCTAGATTCAACGATCTTGTCTTTACACAAGCTAGAAGCATATGTCATCTTGTCTCTCCAAGGAACCACTTGGTCTAGGACCCTACAACATGCAAAAAAGCATACCAAAGAGAACCGGTTATGGAAGGAAAGGGAGACTTTTACACAGTCTAAATGTAGGAGGTGCTATTGATGGGGGAATCATGGCTTCCTATTTGTACTGTAGTGCAAAACATGACTTTCTAGATTTCTTAAAGATACTCTTATTCTCGAGTCTCTCAATCAAGAACAACACACACAGACCAAATACCACACCTTCCCTGGCCCTTTAACTATATCACGTAACTTACTAATCCATTTCTCCTCCCCCCTTACCAACCTTTTCTCCATCTCCGCTCTTTTCTGCCTCTAAATACATCTCTATAGCAGGGTACTCACTGAACAGCGCATTCTCACTTGGCCCCTCTGTATTCTCTCCAAGCCTTGGCAGCCAAGCACTCTATCAATGGGTACCTTCTAACCACATGCAACCTGGCCAGCAGA